ACTCATATGAAATGCCAACATACTAGGTGGCCACTGAACTCACTGTTCCACAATGCCAGTCCCTTTGATTTCTGACCACCTGATTTTACCTTTTTGTCAACATGCAAATGATTTTAACCTAGATATGAATGTAAACATAAATGTACAATACATTTATTAAAATAAATCAAATATAATACCAAACTTATATACAAATACCTATTTTCTGTGGGAGCTAAGGTACAACTGAAAATGTTTATCTTGATTTAATCTCTTTCAATTCTTTTCCAAACTATTTCCTCATTTAAAATGGAAAATGACCTACATCTTGCCCCATAATCTAAGATGTTTATGATTTTATTGCCCATTTCCCCAAAGCCTTTTAATTTTTCCAAACAGCTTTTAATTTCCAGGAAGGATTCCTAGATATAAAATGCCACTTTATGAATAATTTCCTCATTCCCCTTTTGGGCAAGCTGCTGCTTATCTGGCAAGCTTCAAAAGCTATTTCTAAAAACCACTTCAAAGGGACCAGTAATTAACTTCCTTTAACTTTCAAAAACATTCTATTTGGAATTTGTCCCATATAAAGAATACTTCATAAGGTATTTAAGAGGAAATTTATCTCCCTTTAAAAAATTGACTTCAGGCAATATGATACAGTATCTATGAATGAGTTTAATTAAATCATTTGCATTCCAGATTGTGTATTTTAAAAACTATAGCTATGACACATGGCATGTATTTAATAACTGTGCTATTAATAACTAGAAACTAATTTTTCTAAGATGTTAGTATTGAAGCTACAATATTAAATGTCTCTAAACAGATATTTACTTTTCAATAACTTTACTCTCATTCTGTCTTTACAGAAAGAGATTCTTATTTCTTTAAATATCTTTAATATTTTGATAATGTGTACCATAAAAATTAGTAATATTCATCCTTAGGATCCATTTTAGTTGCATCATCCTTATGTAACATTCATGTAACTATGTTCCTATTTTAATGCCCTCTCTGTATCTGAAATAGTGGGTGATAAATTATAGGAAGGCATACAAGAGCATTGTAAAATTGTGTAACCGCATCCTTAGAAAAGAACAAGGCAAAAGAATATCATCTGGACTTTTTTAATTATGGTAGGTTGTCTATTATGGGTGTCAACTACAAATGATCTACTCGGATGAGTTTTTGCTAATGATCTAGTGATTCATTGAAACATCTCTCTGAATGAATCATGGTGGGAAGCAGCAAAGATGATAATATATTTTGACATATTCAGACATAAAATTTGTTGGCATCTATGAAAGATAATATTTAAAGAACTTATGATTCAGGCATACATTTACCACTGGTGCTTGATATAATTTTGAAACATTGGGAAGGAACAAAGCAGATGTAAGGTTTTAGGTAGTCTTTGATTTTAGACAAGAATTGACTTGGATTGCCTCAGTAATAAAACTACATCTATGGTTTAGTGGCAAAAATAGAAAGACTCAAGCAGTGGACTAATGTAGCCTTTGGGTAGTTAGGATGGTTTGATGGTCTTTTTTTTGTATGCATTGATTATGTGGTCTACTTTTTTTATAAAATTTTAAAATGTAAATTAAAAAGTACACTTTATTTATACCTACATTTATCTGTCTGTATATTTGATTAGGATAATATTTTAAGATAAAAATATTTAGAGAATGATAAAGATAAATTATATCACATTTGGAATTAATACAGTGCAACCCAAATATTACTAATAGTTACTTTCTTGCTGTAAAAATGATTTATTTTATGCAGAATGAGCACAATTAATTTAACCATTCAAAATTTTGAAAGTTACAAAAACCAAAATAATTCAGATAAAAGAAACGTAAAATTGCACATTGATTAGAAAAGAAACCCCAGAATTATTGAGTTACTAATAGCTGGTCTACTAAAAGAAAAAAAAAGTAGAAGAATGAAGCTAGACTATCTCTAAAAAATTGAACAAAAAAGTCAGGAAAATACAAAAAAAGACTGGAATTGAAGATGGATTTTCCCTCCCAGATTTATTTATTAGAAAGGCAAAGAAACAGGGGGAGAGATTTTCTGTTTTCTGGTTCACTCTGAAAATGCCTGCAACCAGATCAAATGCCTCGGGGAGACCAAAGCCAGGAACTCCATCTGGGTCTCCCACATAGGTGTCAACTATTTGGACCATTATATACTGCCTCACAGGCTCCTTAGTAGGGAACTGGATCAGAAGTGCAGAGTAGGCAGGACACAAACAAGGCACTCCAGTATGTGACATAAATGTCTAAAGTAAGGGCTTCAACTCATGCTGCCACAGAGCCTGTCCCAAGGAACACAATTTTAAGCATGAACTTTCTGAAATTGTTTTATGTTTTCTGGAATTGATTCTCAAATCTGATTAGATTTATGGGCACTTATGACTCTAGTTCTGGTACTAAAATGAGCATTGATAATCAGTGGTATAATCTGGCAGTAGAAATAAGTATAATACCTGCATTTTTTAGTCCAGCTACCTATTTTTTTAAATATTATTTTATTTAATGAACATAAATTTCCAAAGTACAAAGTATGGATTACAATAGCTTCCCCCCCCATAACTTCCCTCCCACCCACAACACCCCCCTCTCCCACTCCCTCTCCCCTTCCATTCACATCAAGATTCATTTTCAATTATCTTTTATATACAGAAGATCAATTTAGCATATATTAAGTAAAGATTTAAACAGTTTGCACCCACACAGAAACACAAAGTGTAAAATACTATTTGAGTACTAATTATAGCATTAATTAAACACCTAAGAGTAATTGTGTATTAATTACAGAGTTCAACCAATAGCTTTAAGTAGAACATAAAAATACTAAAAGGGTAAAATATTAAGTTCTTTTATTTTCTTTTTTTCTTTTTTTTGTTTGTTATATAGTTATTTTTTTATTTAATAAATGTGAATTTACAAAGTGCAACTTTTGTATTGTTGTGGCTCCCCCCCCCCAACCTCCCTCCCTCCCGTGGCCCTCCCCTCTCCTACTCCCTCTCCCATCCCGCCCTTCATCGAGTTTCATTTTCAATTACCTTCATATACTGAAGATCAACTTAGTATATACTAAGCAAGGATTTCAACAGGCTGTACTCACACAACCGCACAAGGTATAGGGTATTGTTCGACTAGTAGTGTTGTTTTTAAGTTTCATAGTAAAACACATTAAGGACAGAGATCCTACGTGGGGAGCATGTACCCAGTGACTCCCATTGTTGATTTAACAATTGGCACTCTTATTTATGACGTCAGCAATCACCCGAGACTCTTGCTATGAGCTGTCTAGGCTATGGAAGCCCCTTGAGTTCACCGACTCTGAACTTGCCAAACAGCTACTTATAAGAAGCAAGCAGATCTGTGAGTGTGTATAAGATACTTTCAAATGTTTGTGGTGGCCATCAAAGAAGGATGTACTTTTCTCTAAAGGTAGGAGAGAATTTCCACTTTACTTTTGGCCTTGTCCAAATACTTACGAAGTCTGTAAATGAAAAAGGCTTCCATAGCCTTGGCAACTCATATCAAGAGCCTTGGGGAGTCACTGACGTCACACGTAAGAGTGTTAATTGTTAAATTAACAACAGGAGTCACTGTGCCCCCATTCCCCATGCAGGACCTCTGTTCTCAATGAGCTGTATTATGAGAGTTAACTGTAAAATCAGTTCGCAGTTGTTTTGTGTGTGTGTGTGTGTGTGTGCAAATTGTTGAAAAATTTACTTCATATAGAGTTGGTCTTCTGTGTACAAAGTTAATTGAAAAGGAATCTTAATGGAGAATGGGACTGGGAAGGGGAGAGGGAAGAGAAGGAGGAGGAGTGGGAGTGTGGGTGGGAGGGTGGGATGGTGGGAAGAATAACTATATTCCTAAAGTTGTACTTATGAAATTTGTATTCCTTAAAAAATAAATTAAAAAAGAAAGCTAATTGTCCTAATGTTGTTGGGCAATGTGATGAAAAAGTGTGTGAGCTTAGGGATTCAAATCCCTACCTCCAGAGAAATATAAATTACTTGAAGTCTTTTCTATGTGTCCTGAAGGAAACCTTTACCTCCTATGGCTGCAGAAGTAAAATTTCTGAAAACAAATGTAGGAAATCATCCTGTAATGGGCTGGAGTACAAGACAAGTTGAACTTCCAACCTCACAAGGTGGTTGTCACTAAAGTAAAAGCATTGATTGGTAAAGAATGTGATCCTACAACATGGGAAGCAGGATACACAGCAGACTCATAGAATGGCAGATATCCTAAACAGCACTCTGGCCTCAGAATCAGCCCTTAAGGCGTTCATATCTGGCTAAAAAGCCCATGAGAGTTTCTCAGGCATGGAAAGCCAAGACACTGTGGCAAAAATTGACCTAAATGAAAGATTTCTCTGAGTGAGATCCCAGCAGAAAGAACGCACCATCAAAGAAGGAGGTACCTTTCTCTGAAGGGAGGAGAGAACTTCCACTTTGACTATGGGCTTGTCTAAATAAGATTGGAGTTTGTGAACTCAAGAGGCTTCCATAGCCTTGGCAACTCATGACAAGAGCTTCAGGTGATTACTGACATCATACATAAGAGTGTCAATTGTTAAATCAACACCAGGAATCACTGTGCACCTGCTCCCCATGTATTATCTCTGTCCGTAATGTGTTATACTTTGTGACTTAACAGTAAAACTGCTATTCAAACAGTACTCTATACTTTGTGTGTCTGTATGGGTGCAAACTGTTGAACTCTACTTAGTATATAAAGATAGTTGTAAATATAAAATTATATATATATAAAGATACATATATATTATGTATTATATAAATAAATATATAAAGATCTTTATATCTTTATATCTATCTTTTATCTTTATATATTAGCATATAAAGATAATTTACTTCTGTATATAAAGATAATGGAAAATGAATCTTGATGAAAAATGGAATGGAAGAGGGAGTGGGAGATGGGATGGTTGTGGGTGGGAGGGAGATTATAGGGGAAAAGCTGCTATAATCCAAAAGTTGTACTTCAGAAATTTATATTTATTAAATCAAAGTTGAAAAAAAATACAGTCATTAAAAAAAAGGAATGGGATCCTGTAATTTGGGTTGGGGATGTTAGGAATGCAGCACTGAAGCTGGTGATACTGAATCTAAATCCTGATGAGTCCTTTTAACAAGTGGAAGAGATCTCTGCACCCCCATCAAAGCATCCTCTTCACCCCTCACCCTCAGCAGAAGAAACCTCCACATCCAGGGACAAAAGGCATCTAGAGATATTGGCCTCTCCCACCCCTGTGTCCTTTAAAATTCCATTTGAAGGGATCAACCCTGCTAATCTGAGGAAATTACTGGCCCCCCATGATACAGTTGCTACGTAAGATGGTGTGCATATCCTCAAGACTTACCCTTGCCACCCCATTTTGAATCTAGGTCTATAATCAGCCTCAAGTCCTTCATGACCCTAAACATATAGTACAGCATGACCCAGCAGGAGATGTGCTATACTCATAAGGAACTACTTGGGTTTTCTAATTTATTATGGCAGATATTTAGAGAACATGGGTGGGAATGGTTACTAAAGGGCTGGAATAATGGAGAAGGAGCATAAGGTTGGATCAGGCTAAGTTTATTGATATGAGTGCTATAGAAGAACACTTAATGTTGCAGACTTAGGCGTCTGTATGGGCTTTAACAGTTTATCCTTTTTGTTGTTGTTGTTGGTTGACTGAGGCAGTTCAAATGGTGGCTCACAGAGAGTGATTGGTACTAGGAATGTATTGATTTTAATGTAAATGCTTAAGGATATTTGAATATTCAAGTCAATTTTTCATTTAAGACCTGCTCAGCCTTGCTGGGAGGGTCCAGAAGACATATTTTTCATCTGTACTATGTGAGGGGAACCCCGGCATCCTTAAAAGTTCTGTGATGTAGGCTGAACCTGATGATGGGAACTACTTCCAATGAACTGAGAAACACAGATTAAATGTGAGTTATTTGATCCTTGGAAAAAAGGGGCCAAGTGACGACATTCATTATCAAAGGCAAGGTGACTGTGATTATCGTAATGGGCAGCAAAATAAAACAGCAATCAAAATACTATGACTTGCACAGTCCTATAGGCTGGCTAATTGAAAATGCGTTCCCAGGCCAGCGCCGCTGCTCAATAGGCTAATCCTCCACCTGCGGCACTGGAACACCAGGTTCTAGTCCCGGTAGGGGCGCCGGATTCTGTCCCGGTTGCCCTTCTTCCAGTCCAGCCCTCTGCTGTGGCCCGGGAGTACAGTGGAGGATGGCCCAGGTCCTTGGGCCCTGCAGCCGCATGGAGACCAGGAGAAGGCGCCTGGCTCCTGGCTTTGGATCAGCACAGTGCACTGGTCGCAGCAGCCATTGAGGGGGGAACCAATGGAAAAGGAAGACCTTTCTCTCTGTCTCCCTCTCTCACTGTCCACTCTGCCTGTCAAAAAAAAAAAAAAAAAAAAAGGAAAGGAAACGTGTTCCCAGAAGTGAAGTAGATAGATAGCCTACTAAAGTTTTACTTGATCTCTATAAGCAGAATATTTCAATGTCAAGTGAAAAAGAAGTCTAATTTGGATTATAAAATCATAGTCATGGCCTGTCAATCAATTCCCTGACTGATAACCCAATAATGAAGGGAGGCCATATGACCTTGATAAAGGATCCCAGTATACTACCAAAAATTTGTACTGTTAACTTTTCTCTATGTCTTCACCACAAGGCTCTATGACCTCTACCACAATAGCTACACATTAGGGAAAAATAAATAACTGGACCTCTCAGCATCTACTGAACACTGGGCCTGACCTGATACTAGCTGCAAGAGACTGAAAACATCTTACAGAGTTTTGGTTTAAGTCCATTTCATGGTTGCCCCAGTGAGTCTTGAACCCATTCTGTGTGATTTTCCAAGGTCCAGAATGCACAATTGGAATAGAAATACTCAGAAGCTGATAAGATACCCAACTGGTTCCCAGATCTATGGAGTGAGGGCTATTATGGTAGGAAAGGCCCTGTGAAGACCATTACTACTGCCTGCGTCTAGAAATAGAGTAAACCTAAAGCAATACTGCGTTACTGGAGGAATTGCCAAGATACGTGCAGCTACTAAGGGACTAAAGGATGCCTGTGCAGTGATTCCCATCGCCACTCAATTCACCCATTTGGCATGTGATGAAGGCAAGTGCATACTGCAGAATGAAAGTGGGTTATCATAGGCTAAACCAGATGGTGACTCCAGTGGTAGATGCTGTCCCGGATGAGGTTTTGTTTTTGAACTAATTAACATGTTCCCTGGTACCTACTATGCAATGATTGATATAACAAATGCCTTATTGCCTAGCTGTCAATAAGAACCATAAGAAACTATTTGCTTTCAGGACAAGGCCTGCAGTACGCCTTTACTGCCCTACCTCAGGAATATATCAACTCTCCAGCCGTAAGTCATAATATGGTTTGCAGGAATATTGATTGCCTTCCCATTCCATAAGATATCACTGGCCCACTGAATTGATGACATCACATTGTTTAGAAATCATGAGCAAGAAGTTGCAACAACTCTAGATTTATTGGTCAAACACTTGGGTGTCAGAGGATGGGAAATAAATCTGATAGATTATAGATTTCAGGGCCTTCTCTCTTAATAAAATAAAGATTCAGTCGTGTAGAGTATGTTGAAATATCCTTGTAAGGTGAAGGGTAAGTTTTTTCATCTTGACATCTCCTACAATCAAAAAATAGGCACAACACCTAGTGAGTTTCTTCAAATTTTGGAGGCATGCATTCCTCAACTGCATGTGTTATTTCAGTCCACTTATGAAATTATCTTAAAACTACTAGTTTTAAGGGGGGCCCAGAATTCACTGGGTCTGAAATAGACCCAGTATGTTGTACAAGTTGCTCTGCCACTTGGACCAGATGCTCCAGCATATCCAGGGGTATCTGGAGTATCAGTGGTAAATGAGGATGCTGTCTGGAGTCTTTGGAAGTCTCATATATTGCTGTACAGGCCTTTAGCATTTTGAATAACTACTTTCCTTTTGAAAAATATCATTTGGACTGCTATGAGTGCTAGTGGAGACCAAACAATTAACCATGAGCCACCAACATGTAAACATGAACTGGATGTTATCTGACTCACCAGGCCATAAATTTAAGAATGCACAACAAAAACACCCAATTACCAAAAGATTAGCCAACTCTACAAGTACAAGTTACATGAAGAACTGGTCAAAATACCAATGATCCCTACTCCACAATACTGCCTTCTCTTCCCTAGTCTGCACCTATGACCTTATGGGGAGTTCTCTATGATCAATTTATAGAAACAGGATTTGGAGGTGATTTATAGATGGTTCCGCCTGATATATAGGCACCACCGAAAAAATAACTGCTATAGCATTGAAGATCTTTTCTGGGACATTTCTGGGGGACAGTTGTGACAGGAAATTCTTTTAATTGGACAAAGTTTCAAACAGTGCATTTGATTGTTCATTTTGTTTAGAAGAAGAAAGCTGTGAAATTATATAGTAATTAATGGAATGTAACAAATTGATTGGCTGCATGATCAGAGAGTTAGAAGGACTATGATTGGAAAATTGGTGACAAGAAAACTTGGAGAAGAGATATGTGGATTTGCCACTTGACATTAGCAAGAAATGTGAAACTATTTAGCTTCCGTAGTAACGCTCAGCAAATGATGTAGATAGGATGATCCATTCTGGGGATATTAGCAAGTCTCTTTCCTCAGCCACCTTTGCCATTGCCCAATTGACTCAAGAATAAAATGGTCATTGTAGCAAGGTTGGAGGTTATGCATAGACTCATCAAGGTCAACCTAGCTCTGGCTATCACTGAGTACCTAGTCTTTCAACAAAAAAAGACCAAAACTGAGTGCAAAGGTGTAATGTGGAAATATTCTCTAGAGTAATCAGTTAGCTACTCAGTGACAGATAGATTATATTGGCTGATTCCCATCATGGAAAGAGCATTTTCTTGTCATCACTAAAACACACTTATTTTGAATATGGATTTGTTTTATCTGCACACAGTAATTCTGATGAAATTGCCATCCATGGGCTTACAGATGCCTTCTCCACCTTAAGAGTATTCAATACAGCATTGCTTCCAATCAAGGAACTCACTTGACAAAAAAGTGTGACAATTGACCCATGCACATAGAATTCACTAGTCTTACCATGTTCACCATCATGAAGGAGCTGTCTTGATGTCACAGTAGAGTGGCCTTTTGAAGATTCAGTTATAGTACCAGCTACATGAAAATACTTTGAAACAAGTTTCTTTAGATGATTACATTCATATATGCTTTGAATCCTAGTTCAGTGCTATTTCTCCAATAGCCAAGATCACAGGTATAGGGATGAATGAGTGGAAGTGGGAGTGGTACCAGTCATTGTTATCCCTACTGACTCCCTAACAATATTTTTGCTTTCTGTTCCCATGACTTTATACTCTTCTAACCTAGAATCCTTGGTCCCAAAAGGGAGAAATTCTTACACCAAGAGATGCAACAATAATTTCCATTGAACTAAGAAATTAAAACTGCCCCTTGGAGAATTTAACTCCTTGTTCCTCTGAATCAACAAAGAAGGGAGTTGTGGTTATGGCTTGGAGACTGACCTAGTACATATTTCACTACTCCACAACGAAGGTAAGAATATGTCTGGAATACAGGGTCCACCTTTGAGTGTTTCCTAGTACCTTGCCCTGTGGTTAAGATCAAGGAAAACTACAACACCCTGATCCATGAAGAATTACCAATGGCCTAAATACTTACAGAACGAAGTTATGGCTACCCTACCAGGTACTAGAGAATGATGAACTACTGAGATAGTGGCTGAACACAAAATATGTTATTGTGAAAAAATAGTAGTGGAAGACTTTCTTTATAAATACTAGCTACAATCATGTAACCTACTATAGAAATAAGACACATAACTGTCATGTGCATTTCCTCCTAAATTTGTTATGAATATATTTGTGTGTGTGGAAAATACTTTTTTTCTCTTTAGTTCCCACATGTAACATAAGAGGTATTGACTTTATATCACATAATTTAAGTATTGTTAACTTTACATAATCATTTTTAATGTATGAGATATCAGGTGTCATTCAAGGACCTTACTTCTCCTCTCCTGAAGAAATTATAGTTTTTATTGTAAGCAGCATTGATGGCCTTGGAGATTAAACAAAGTTTAAAGAGATGCTAATAAGTGCCAAGCTGATAGGGGGTAAATTTGTGATGGTTAATTTTATGTGTCAACTTGACTGCATTGTAAATACACAGATTTTTGGCTAAACATTATTTCTGAGTGCATCTGAATCTACATGAGATAAACATTTGGATATGTAGACTCAATTAAGAAGATGGTTCTCATCTATGTGTGAACATCAACAATCTACTGAGGGCCTGAGTAGAACAAAAAACAGAAGAAGAAAGAATTTATTTGATCTTTTCTCTGTTAGATTACTTGAGCTGGGATATCCATCTTCTCATCTTCTCCTGCCCTCTAGCATACTTCAGTAACCGGGATCTATCAGTGATTCCTAATCGCATGTCTTAATACTACACCACCAGCTTTCCTGAGTCTCAGCTTCATAATCACATGAGTTAATTCTTTATAATAAATCTCATTGTATATAAAGTTATATATGTATATGTCATTTATTTCCAAAATATTATATATAATATATAAAACATATATACACATACATACACACATATCATGTACATACAAGTACTAAACAAGTATATATAATGAGATTTATTTTCTAGGTACCCAGATACTTGTTTTACTGGTTTTGTTTCTCTGGAGATCCCTGACTAATAATATACCCATATACATTCTTTTTGTTTTGTTTTGTTTTGTTTTTGACAGGCAGAGTGGACAGTGAAAGAGAGAGACAGAGAGAAAGGTCTTCCTTTTGCCGTTGGTTCACCCTCCAATGGCCACCGCGGCCGGCGCGCTGCGGCTGGTGCAACACGCTGATCCGATGGCAGGAGCCAGGTGCTTCTCCTGGTCTCCCACGGGGTGCAGGGCCCAAGCACTTGGGCCATCCTCCACTGCACTCCCTGGCCACAGCAGAGAGCTGGCCTGGAAGAGGGGCAACTGGGAAAGAATCCGGCACCCGGACCGGGACGAGAACCCGGTGTGCAGGCGCCACAAGGCGGAGGATTAGCCTAGTGAGCCGCAGCGCCGGCCTACATATACATTCTTTAATATTCCATAAGCCTACTCTACACTATGAACTACATTGTATGTTTGCTTGTTGATTTGTTGGTTGTTATTGTTTCTAATGTTTAGCATCTCTTGGATGAATAAATTAAAATCATAATAGTTTTCCTGTTGATGTCCATATAATGAAGACTTGAAATTCCATAAAAAAGAAATGATAGCCATAAATATCCAATAAATAGCCAATAATATTACAGTTGTTCTGGCACCAAAATACTGCAATTTGTTTTATAATATACTTCATAAAACAGATTATTATGAGAAAGTTTAGGTTCATTGGTCTATATTGTATATGTGTGTTTGTGTGTAAGTATAGATTCCATATTAATAGACCCCAATTGTTTTGGCTAGCAATAATTTTGGAGTCTTAGTTCATCCTGTCCCTAAAACCAGGTTTTATTTCATTGCATGTTCTTCTATTATAGATTTGGCCTGTTTTTCACCTGACCGATTCTGCTGACAATTACTTTAGAGTTGCCTTTTCTTTGCAGCAGAAGTGAACATTTCAAATGATTATGTCTAATCAGTAAAAAGGAGACAAGACAACTAGACTCTAACTTTATATTACTTATTTTCAATCCTCATTTTATCTTTGTGACTCATTTTTCAATCGGACTATTGCTGTTGTCTAATGGAAATGCAATGATAGAAGTTGAAATATTGCATAATTAAATATACTTTTGCTGAACCTCAAAAGAAAAATCTCTTTTCTTTTTCAGATATCTAGCTACTTTTCTTTTTAAATGGCTGCTTAAATGTGTGTAGACATACCAAAAGGCTCATATAAACTTTTCCTAGGTCCTCAAAATGATTCAAAGTTGGTAAATTTTCAATGCTGCTATATTTATTTCCCAAAGCTATATATTTGGGTACAAATATAAATATGCTTTTTTGCATCTTCCTAATATGTGAAATACATATGTTTACTCTAAACACTTACACACATACTCACATGGTCTCTGTATAAATTCTTACAATATGTACAGAAATATTAGAATGATGCTTCCTTAGGATGATTTATTCAATATTTTTAAAAGTATTTTCTGGATGAAAACAGAAAAAATTTGGAGAGATCCATTTAAATGTAAAATGTCTGACAAATCTAAACTTTGAGTTTCATAAAAACAATGTAGTCCTCTAGGCTCAATAATTCTTCAGCTTGTTAGGACATTATAAAGAACTGTAGATCTTTTAAAACTATCAAAGCCAAGGACACACCTGAGTATGATTTTATAGGAATCATTTAAGAGGCATCATGTCAAAGAGTAGGAGCTTAAGTATCACAATTAGACCTTCAATTACGTAATATAAGCCTGATATTCAAATTAATTTGGGGGATAACATCATCATACATTGAAATAACTTTTAGATTTCATTTTTTTCTGTTTTTGAGTTATTATACTTCTAAGGGTTGATATTTTGGAAAATTTATCTTTCTTAGAGGCCTTTAAAAGAATAAAAATTAGTTTTGATGACTAAAGCACATTACATACTGTAATTGTCACATTAGTAGGTTGGACTTTTATAAATATCAGTTATATAGGAAAGTCTCAGTGACTATAGCCTGCAAATTTTGAAATTCCTTACTGTTTTCTCTCTGCACAAATGGTTTCATCATTACTCATCAATTACTCCCAATTATGCTTATTGCAATTAAATAATGAGAAAGTAGAGGAGTAATGAATTTTTCAGGATGGATGATGATGAAATGGAAAAAACAGAGGGAAAACTTTCAGGCACTTCACAATTGAATCATTTTTCAGTTTTCTTATTGTCTCATCCAAAGTATTACACAATCTCCAAAGATATAAAAGAAGATTGAAGACACCATCTTTGTTATAATCTCTTGAGCTTACTTGAAAGAAGTTGAGAATTTTCTGCTTATAATGGTGAAATGAAAAAAATTGACAGAAGAAGAGTTTTCACAGAAAGATGAATTGGGAGATGAATCAGTGAATGAGACTAGGGTAGCACTATGGATCTAATAATGGTGGTGGAAAAGATAGAAACACAGTCTCAGCTAGGAGTTTTCAGAAGATTATATCTTGGATCAGTTTTCTCAAATTCAAGAACTGACAAGTTAACAGTATATTTCTAACAACAAAAGGAAAATTCAGCATCACTATGTAGGTAGTTATTCAACTGGAGAGACATTATCACACAAAATAGTGAAATCAGAAATTGTAGGTTTTTTTCTTGTTTATTTCTTTCTTAAAGCATATGTGATAGTATTCTTTCCTCTTTAATTGTGTCTGTCCACAAAATTCTCTTGATACGACTCAAACATGGTCAAATGATAACAGAAAGGTATTGGAAAAGACATTGGGTAGAGTTTATTCTATAAGAAAGTCATGAGTGATATTAGTACTCTTATAATATGAATATGGAATTGTTCTTCCAGAAGAATATGGAATGTTCTTCTGTCCCTTTAACCATGTAAGGACAAAAGGGGAAGATGGCCATCATGAGCCAGGAAGTGGGCCTTCTGCTAGCACCTTGATCTCCAACTCCTCAGCTTCCTCACCTCTGAGACGCGTCTTGTTCAGAAGCTATTAAGTCCGTGTTGTTCTAGTATTTCAGATACAGATAACAATGACTCAGAAATGTTAGTTCAAATAGTGAGAATGTTTTCAAACTCTTCTTTTGAAGTAGCCTGATTTGAAAATAACTCATATTAAATTTTCTCTTAAATGATGTTTCTTATCTTTTTTTAAGATGTCAGTTTCATTCTTACATATTTTTGTATTCTATATTAACTACCATATATCAGAGAAAACATGATATTTGTCTTTTGGGACTGGCTTATTTCACGAAGCATCATGGTGTCTGGTTGCATCTGTTTTGTTTCATAATACAGAGTTCCATGCTTTTTTATAGATAAGTAGTGTTCCATTGTATATATATACACCACATTTTCTTTATCTGGTCATCAGTTGATGGACATAGCTTGGCTATTATGAATTGAGCTGCTAGAAATGTGGGAATACAGATAATTTTTTATTATGTTGATTTCATTTCATTAGGGTTAATTCCCAGGAGTGGGATGGCAGGGTCATATGGTAGTCTTCATCCTGTATTCCATAATGATCATACTAGTGTACATTCTCACTAATGGTGGATTGGGTACCTTTCTCCCCACATCCTCGCCAGAATTTAATATTTTTTGTTTTTCAATGAGAACCATTCTAACTGGGTTGAAGTGAAACCCCATTGTGGTTTTTATTTGCATTTCCCTGATGGCTAGTGGTCCGGAGCAAGTTTTCATGTGTCTATTTGCAATTTGAATTTCATTGTTTGAAAAATGTCTCTTCAAGTCCTTTGCTCATTTTATTTTGCTTGCATTGGCTTTTTCTTTTTTTTAATAGAAAACTTTTATTTAATAAATATAAATTTCAAAAATACAACTTTTGGATTATAGCAGTTCTTCCCCCCATAACCACATTCTCATCCACAAACCATCCCATCTCCTACTCCCTCTCCCATCTGTTCTTCATTAAGATTCATTTTTAATTATCTTTTTTAAATATTTATTTTAATTATTTGAAAGGGTCACAGAGAGAGGTAGAGACAAAGAGGTCTTGCATCTGCTGGTTCATTCCCCAGATGGCTGCAATGGCTGGAGCTGCACCCATCCGAAGCCAGAAGCCAGGAGCCTCCTCCGGGTCTCCCACATGGGTACAGGGACGCAAGGACCCGGGCCATACTCCATTGCCCTCCCAGGCCATAGCAGAGAGTTGGATTGGAAGAGGAGCAGCTGGGACTAGAACAGCACCCATATGGGATGCCAGCATCTCAGGCCAGGGCGTTAACCCACTACGCCAAAGTGCTGGCCCTATTTTTAATTATCTTTAAATACACTACTTATTTTTAGTAATTTCTGATTTCCTTTTTGATGTCCTCTATGGCCCATGGTTCATTTAAGACCATGTTGCTCAGTTTCCATGTGTTTGCTTATTATCTAGAATTTCTTTTTTTTTTTTAAGGTCTTCCTTCCATTGGTTCACCCCTCAAATGGCCGCTACTACGGCCAGCATGCTGTGCTGATCCAAAGCCAGGAGTCAGGTGCCTCCTCTTGGTCTCCCATGTGGGTGCAGGGCCCAAGGACTTGGGCCATCCTCCACTGCCTTCCTGAGCCACAGCAGGGAGCTGGACTGGAAGAGGAGCAACCAGGACAGAACTGGTGCCCCAATCGGGACTAGAACCCGGGATACCGGCGCCGCAAGCAGAGGATTAATCTAGTGAGCCAGGGTGCCAGCCTAGAATTTCTTATGTTGTTAATTTCCTGCTTCATTTCACTGTTATGAGAAAAGAAACATTGTATGATTTCATTTTTTTATTTGTTGACAGTTGTTTTATGTCCCAGCATATGGTCCATCCTACAGAATGTTCCATGCACTGATAAATAGAATGTGTGTTCTGTGCTGTGAGATGATATGTTCTATGGATATCGATTAGAGCCACTTTGTCAAAAGTGTACATTAGCTATGTTGTTTCTTTGTTGATTCTCTGTCTAGTTGATCTGGTATGTCGAAGTCTCCCATTATTATTGTATTGGAGCATATGTCTCTCTTTGGATCTATTAATATTCGTTTTATATAGCTGGGTACTTCTAACACTATATACATATACATTTGTTAAGAGTCATATTTTACTGTTGAGTTGATCCCTTAATGATCTTGTCTCTTTTAACAGTTTTTATCTTAAAGTCTATTTTGTCTGATATTAACATAGCTAATTCTGCTTTTTCTGATTTCTATTTACATGAATTACCTTTTTCCATTCTTTCACTTTCAGTCTGTGTGTATCTTTGTTGGTGAGGTATGATTCTTACAGGCATGATATAGATGGGTCTTGCTTTTTAATTCTTTTAGCCAGTCTGTATCTCTTAATTGGCAAGTTTAGCACATTTGCATTCAAGATTATTATTGATAAATAATGTCTTGGTCATGCCATTATTCCATGAATATTCCTATTGTTGTTTTTGGATCTCCTTTGTACTATTATCAGGAGGTTTTCTGCCTTTACATTCTTATATAATGCTGGTTATCTTTTTGTTTCTGTGTGGAACAAACCCTGAGTGTCCTTTTTAAGGCTGGCTGGGTGGTGACAAATTCTTTCCATTTTTGTTTGGAAGATTTTTTTTTCACTTTCATTTATAAATTAGAGCTTCACTGGGTATAGTATTATGGGGTGACAGTTTTTTCTTTAAGTTTAAGGACTATATTTCTGCGTTCTGTCCTAGCCTATAGGGTTTCTGATGAGAAATCTGCTGTTAACTTAATTGGAGATCCTTTAAAGGTAATCTGGGATTACTCTCTTAGACATCTTTTTTGTGTATGTTTTACTTTTGAAAGTTTAAATGAAATGTGCTATGGTGAAAATATTCTCTGATCATGTCTTTTGGGGTTCTATGTACTTTCTAAATTTGGATGTCCATGTCTTTGTCCAAAATTAGGAGACTTTTTGACTCTTACTTAACTAAATATGTTTTCTAAGTCATTTTGGTATTCCACTCCTTCAGGAATGCCTAAGTTACATATATTTTGTCATTTAATGGTATCCCATATATTGTGAACACTGTTTTGGGTTTTCTAATTTTATTCTTCTTCCTCTTCCCCTTTGCCTTCTTCTCCTCCCTCCTCCTTCTTCTACCGTTGCTTCCTCTTCTTCCTCCAACATATGAAAAGCTTTGTCTTCCAGCTCAGGTATTCTTTCTTCTGACTCACTAAGTCTGTTGTTTAGGCCTTCCATTGTATTTCTTTGATGTGTTGAATTCTTCATTTATACTATTTCAGTTTTTCTGTAATATTTCTTTTTAAAAAATATTTATTTATTTATTTGAAAGTCAGAGTTAAACAGAGTGAGAGAGGCAGAGAGAAAGAGGTCTTCTATCTGCTGGTTCGGTCCCCAATTGGCTGCAACGGCCAGAGCTATACCAATCTAGAGCCATGAGCTTCTTCCTTGTCTCTCACACCAGTGCAGGGGCTCAAGGAATTGGGCCATCTTCCACTGCTTTCCCAGGCCATAGCAGAGAGCTGGATTGAAAGTGGAGCAGTCAGGACTCTAACCAGTGCCTATATGGGATGCTGGCACCGCAGGCAGTGGCTTTACCTGCTATGCTACCTTACCTGCCGGCCTTCTTTAGTGTTTATATGTCCCAGCTCAATTACTCATCCATGTCATTCACAGATTTCTTTAACTCATGTAGTAATTGCTTCTCTCTCTCTCTCTCTCTCTCTCTCTCTCTCTTTCGCTGTCTCGCTGTTTCTGTGTGTGTATGTGTGTGTGTTTAAAGATTTATTTATTTATTCAAAAGTGAGAGTTATGGAGAAAGAGGGAGAGGGAATCTTCCATCTGCTGGTGCATTTCCCAGATGACCACAACAGCAAGGGCTGGTCCAGGCTGAAGTCAGGAGTTCATCCAGGTCTTTCACATGGGTGGCAGGGGCCCAAGCATTTGGGTCATCTTCCACTGCTTTTTCCAGTCCATTATCAGGGAGCAGCATCAGAAGTGGAGCAGTTGGCACTTGAACTAATGCCCACATAGGATGCCATCACAAGCAGTGGCTTAACCTGCTAAAGGACAACTCCAATACCTTCTCTGTGTTTCTGAATATCTTGCAATCATTCTTTTGAATTCCCTCTCAGGCATTTCCACGATGTAATATTGAGGTATTATTGTGTTTCTTTGGGAGAATCACATTGTCTTCCTTGCTCCTGTTTCTTGTATTTTTTTGCTTCTTTTATGCATCTGGAGAAATACTCATTGATATCTCCTTTGAAGTCTGTTCCTATGAATGTGCCTCTAGTGGTGGAATGTCTGCACCTTTAGGGGATATCAGAGGCATGTGCTGGGTGGAGTCAGGTAGCTCTGGCCAGCATTTGTGGGTGGAATGAATGTGCAGGGTAACATCAAATTATGTGTGGTACATCTCCTCTGTAGTCAGAGGAGAGAGGAGATGATCACCCCAGCTGGTGCTATCATTGCTTCCAGCCTTCTGTGTGCCAACATGAACCTCTCTCTGCCTGTACTCCCCACTCACTCAGGCTCATCAACTGTGCAAAGAATCCATGCACTCTAGTGTGGGGAGCAACTCAGACTAGACTGTTACTCGAATTAAGACTTATTCTATGCATCTGCTCTCCCACAATATGGCGCTGGGAGAGGAGGAAACAGCTTCTACACAGCTGCCTCCAGTTCAACCAATAAACTGTAGGACCTGCTCCTGATTGGAGGAGAGCAGCGTACTCGGCGTGTGGGTAGCAGAGTTGGGATTGGCGGAAGAGGACTATAAAGGAGGAGAGAGACAACATGCACCAGGAACATCTATGAGGAACACTTGAGCAGCCCCCGAGAAAGCCGGCCGGCGGTGTGCCGCTCCCCCGCGGAAGTGGGGAAAGTGGCAGGGGGAACCGCCCTTCCACGGAGGTGGAAGGGACGGTAGCCAACCCGGGAAGAACCAGCAGCAAACCCGGGGAGGGCCGAGCAGACAAAAGAACAGCGCAGGGTCCTGTGTCGTTCCTCCACGAAGACGGGGAGCGACACTCTAGTGTTAGCATGGAGCCCTTTGTGATATACATTCCTAGCACTCAGAGAATTCTGAGCTTCTGGACTATGACTAAGTAATTGCTCAAAGACCCATCCAAATCCCACTCCCTTATATGTCTCCCATTCTATTGCACAATCACAGGGTT